GGGGGGGGGGGGGAGGAATTCTAACCTAAAATTCGTTTTCCTCCTAACGCTACTGATATTTTTAAATAACATTTTAGTCTATTTTTGACAAAATACAAGTTTAAAGACTTTGTGTATAGCAGGAGGTAGCGTAAATGATGTGACAAACTTCTAGGGGAGTTTGGGCACATCAACAAAACGAAACCCCTTCCCTGTTCATAGGAATCCCTTCCCGGAAATGTCATCGTACACGGCTAGGGGTGCTTCCCTTATATTGTGGCATGTTCAGAATCACATAACGAAACAGTCCCTAATAACAACACAACAGTCCCTAATAGGGAAGCTCCCCTAGTGGCGTATAGCGACATTGCCATTGGTTTCTATGCAATTATATTCTTGATGATGTGCCCTTACTCTTCCAGAAGTTTCTTCCAACATTTACAAAACCTCCTGATAGATAAACCTTTCTTTTAAACTTAAATGTTTCGATAAATACTGTCATTTAAAAAAACTATAACTTGGAGAGAGAAACTAATTACAGATTTGTAATCAGCGATACGAAAAATCAAAGATTTGTTTTAAAAAAAATCTCATCTGACGGAAAATGAAAAATGTTCCCAGTTTAATTCGCGGATATTCGTGCTGAAGTAATTTTGCAGTTCTACTCAGTGTGGATAACCTATGCTAACAGTTTGACTGAATGCGTGTGCTCAAACTTGCACTGTGGTACCCATAATATATTCCATAGGAATTTTTGTGTTGTGGGGATTACTAATTTATGATAATATTATACATTTCAGAAATCTAAGCAAAGATGCTGATGGTCAAATTATGTACGCCGTACACACAGCTGAAGACAGGCTATTTAGAGATGATTCAAGAGAATCAGAAACAGAATGTGATAGATTATGTAAGCAACACTTAAAAGATTAAATATACATTCTTATAACGATTGTTAGAGTCGAAAATTGGAAAAACAATTTTTTAAACTGAAAACCATCTATAAATATTAACTGATTTTAGTTTTCGTCAGTTTAAAATATAAATTTTTAAATAGAGAATGCTATATTTTGAGGCAAACTTTTTTTCCTTACAAGCCTTCTACTGTTGCTCTATCATAAACGAAGGGCCGAAAACGAAAACAGACCATAGTGAATAACTTTTGATCTAATGATTGGATCCTCACATTCTCTAACTCAATCTTAATGGTTCGAGAGACCTCAAATATGCTGAATAATTAGGATAGCAGATTTTCTAAGCTACGGAATCAGAAACAAAAGCGTACTTTCTCTGAATAAGCATACCTTTTTTTGACGAATTCGGATTTCTGACTCCCAAAATATAGAGGATGACCACATTCTGGGAAATATAGTCCTCAAAGTTTGGTTAGGAGATCGTTTCAAATTTGGATCCCTTAATGTTGCTTTGATCTTGCTTTTTTTAAGCAAATTTTAAAAAAAAAATTCACCCAAATATAAAATTCATTTATCCAAAGATAATTAAATACAATAAATTATTTTCAACAGATATTTATTACTTTTTATTACTTTATTTAACAACCGTCGAAAAAATTTTGAATTGTAAGGTGCACAATTTTTTACCTCATTTTAAAGAATATAATTTTATATGGTGAAATACCAAATTTGACCAAAATCAGTTAGTTCCAGAAAAATAAAACTTTAAACATAGGACTTCTTTAAAATTTGATTTCTCAGGAACTATTCAACCGATTTCAATCAAATTTAGTATTTTGCCATGTAAAATTACATATTTTAAAATGATGTAAAAAGATGTATTCCTTACAGTTCAAAACTTTTACGACTGTTATCAAATAAAATATTACAAAAATAATAAATATTTACTGTTTTTGCTTGGGTTATCTTTCAATAAATGAATTTTATAGCTGAATGCAAAAATTTTTCAATTCATTAAAAAATATTTTGATATATGGCAAAATACGTGGGAAATAAATTTAACTTGAAGGGGTCTAAGCTTTGGGTCGCTCTCCAAACCAAATTATGCTGACCATTTTAGCCAGATTGCGTCTATCCTCTATACCGTGGAAGTCAGAAATACGAATCCGTTGAAAAAAATTATTTATTGAGAGAAAATATGGTTTTTTGTCTGATTCCGTAACTTAAAATGTTATCTGCACTAATTAGCATATTTGAGATCATCAGCTCGATCCTCAGATTTTGTCGTAGACCATGAAGATCCGATCAGTAGATCAAAAGTTATTCAGGGAAGTTCATTTATTTGGTCCACTGTACGTTTAATTAGTTATATTGAAGATTAATGTTTATTCTAATTCATTCTTCTTCTTAGAACCATACAAAAGATATCAGTTTTTAAAAGGCAAAAATAAAGATTATGTTTTAAATTCAGTATTTTTAAAGTACTAAGATATTTGTTACAATTAAAAATATTCCATTCATCTGCAGTTTATAAAATATTAAATTTACTTTTATAATTTGTTTTTTTTTTTCAGGGAAAACTTACGAAAGTTGCCAATATGAAGATGCCAAAAGATGGACTCCGGAACACTCAGTTCTAAGTTAACAAAGAAATTATAAAACTGCTTAGGTAAGTTAACGTCTGGCCTTAAACTATATAATGTAAATTATTTACACAAAATTAAGCAACTACAACGTAACAATGTCTTAATTGCAACTGATAACAATTAAACTTAGATTGTATAAATTTATACACTATTTATAAAAACAAGGAGTGAGAGATCCCGTTTCCTGTTCGCTTTGCTCACTAATCTTCGTGTTTGCTTCTTTTTAATCATTGATTACAGAAGTTGATATTTTAGAATAAAGGAAAAACTACTTTTTTAGTCAATATATATAT